TATGAGGACAGATTGGTTGGGCTAGCTCTGTATGCACTAGAGTTTAGAAGAATGACAGGGGATCTTATTGAAAAGTATAACATTCTAACAGGGCTGAACAGACTAGACGTAGGGAGATAAAGCGGCAAAATACGTGGATGCTGGAAACTGAGACAAACATACAGAATGCTGAAAAAACTGAACTGAATAAGAGTCGTACTGGGCAGAAACAATAACTAAAAACCGAAAGAACTGCGGATGCTGTAAATCAGGGACAAAGACAGAAGTTGCTGGAAAAGCTCAGCAGGTCTGGCAGCATCTGTGAAGAAAAATCAGAGTTAACGTTTCGAGTCTGGTGACCCTTCCTTAGATCCTTCTGAGGAAGGGTCACCGAACCCGAAATATTAACTTTGAACTTTCTTCCCATATGCTGCCAGACCTGCCGAGCTTTTCCAGCAGCTTCTGTTTTTGTTCCAGAAACATTAACTGTTTCTCTCTCCACAGATGCTGCCAGACCTGCTGCGTTTCTCCAATACTCTTTGTGTTCATTCTAGATGCAGGGAGGAGGTTTCCCTGTTTGGGGGAGACTAGAACCAGGGCTCACAGTCTCAGGATATCGGGTAGGCCACCTAGGACTGAGATGAGGAAAAAATTCCTCTCTGTGAACCTGTGGAATTCTCTACCACAGAAGGCTATAGAAGCCAAATCACTGACGAAATTCATGAAAGATACAATTTTAGGTATGGGGAGAAAGCAAGAACATAGCATAGAGGGAAAGGATCAGCCATGATCATACTGAATGGTGGAGTAGCCTCGTTGGGGTGAATGGCCTACTCCTAGTTTCTATGTGAGGTGAGTTTTACACTAAGGCGGTTGATAGTATGTTAAACACCTTATTCACCTCAGCTTCATATTTTAGTTTAATTGTCATATCATAGCTTAATATTCAACTTCGTTTTTTTGTATTCATCATGGTATGAGGGTATCACCGGCTAGGCCAGCATTTAGTGCCCATGCCTAATTGCCCAAAGGGCAGTCAACCACATTGCTGTGGGTCACATATAATCCAGACCAGGTGAGGATGGCAGTTTCCTTCCCTAAAGGACATTAGTGAACCAGATGAGTTTTTTCCTGACATTAGAATCTTAATTCCAGATGTTTATTGAATACAAACTTCACAATCTGCCATGGTGGGATTTGAACTCTGGTTCCCAGAACATTACTTGAGTCTCTGGATTAAAAGTCTACTGATTAATACCACTCGGCCAACATTCCCCCGTGAGCACTTACAAAATGCTCTGAACAAGGTTAGATGTGGAGAAATCTCAGCATGGCAGTCAGAGCGGATCCCTGGTGACTTCAGCTCGCCTCAGGCTGTGAACAGCCCCATGTTGCTCAGCACCAAACAGAATCTCAGGTCACAATCCAGAAGCACCAATTGTATACATTTCTCACCCACTGACATTGGTACCCAATATTTACCAACCCCTCATGACCATCGTGGCACCTCTCCAATCCACCTGCAAGACACTTAGGAAGCACAGGTTTGTGCTGCAGTGTGCACCTGCAACTGGCACTGAAATATTGAAGTAAGGACAGTTAAAGAGCAGGAACAGGCACCAAACTCACGAATTGGACCGTGCTGCATTTCAAGGCTGCTCCCTTGCTTTCTTAGCGCTCACTCATCTTGATGCTTATAGCATCCTTGCGTTACCGTGTCTTGCCTTGTCTCTTAGCAGTTAAGTAACCAGGCAACTTGCCTTGCTGGTCAGTAATCCTCAGTCAAGGGGACTGACATCTTGCAGTTTGGTAGTGTGGAATGTCAATCTCACACCCGTACCATGTACCAGCTGCTTTCATGGCAAACAAGTAGGCAGCCATGTCTCAAATTCTTAGGGCAGTAGTCCTCACCGAAGTCTGTGGAGACACCCATCATTTAGGGCATCCCTGGTCTCTGCAGCAAACCCTGAGGGTGTTGGACCTGGTTCTTCACCATCTCCTGCAAGTTTCCCTTCAAATCACTCAGTATCCTGCAAATACAGGGGTCAGAATCATGGAATTCCTTTCCTAATGACACTGAGAATGTGCAAGCATCATAGATTCTGCAGCCATTCAAGTAGGTGGCTCACCACTGACCACTCCAAGGTATTAAGGCTGTGGAATAAATGCTGGTCTAGCCAGAAATGGTCACATCCAGTGAAATTAAAGTAGTTAAGTCTGGAAAAAGCAAGGGCATAGGTGAAGGTTTTGGTAAATGAGGGGACAGAGTTAGCTAAGTTATGGACATGGAAAGATTCAATCATTTTTAATGCACAGATATGTGCTTGCCAGCTGATCTTGGGGTCAAATTTGACACTCAGGTATACCATACACAGTTCTAAGGAAGGGTCACTGGACCTGAAACGTTAACTCTGTTTTCTCCTCCACAGATGCTGCCAGACCTGCTGAGCTTTTCCATCAACTTCTGTTTTTGTTCCTGATTTACAGCATCCACAGTTCTTTTGGTTTTTCTCAGGTATACCATAGTTTGTCCTACGGTCCAGTTTCAGGTAGATGCACGTACAGCAGAGAGAGACAGCAATAAAATCGCAGTTGGCAGTCAGTAAGACAACTTTTCTTTTATTCACATATGGGATGTGGGCATCGCTGGCTGGGCCAGCGTTTATTGCACCGATGAGTGGCAAATGCAGTTTAATTTAGATAACTCTGAGATGCTTCATTTTGGTGAGGAAAATCAAGGCAGGACTTAGATGCTTAATGTTGAGGTTCTTGGGAGTGTTGCCGAACAAAGAGATCTTGGGGTACAGGTTCATTTTTCCTTGAAAGTGGAGTTGCATGTAGAAAGGATAGTGAAGAAGGCATTTGGTGCGCTTGAAGGCATTTGGTGCGCCTGCATTTATTGGTCAGCACATTGAGTATGGGAGTCGGGATGTCATGTTACAGCTGTACAGGACATTGGTTAGGCCTCTTTTGGAATACTGTATTCAGTTCTGGTCTTGCTTCTATAGGAAAGATGTTGTTAAACATGAAAGGGTACAGAAGAGATTTACAAGGATATTGTTGGGGTTGGAGGGTTTGAGCTATAGGGAGAGACTGAATAGGCTGGTGCAATTTTCCCTGGACTGTCAGATGTTGAAGAAGGTCCTTATAGAGGTTTATAAAATCTTTTCCTTAGGGTAGGGGAGTCCAAAACTAGACTGCATAGGTTTAAGGTGAGAGGGGAAAGATTTAAAAGGGACATAAGGGGCAACGTTTTCACACAATGGATGGTGTGCGTATGGAATGAGTTACCAGAGGATGTGGTAGAGGCTGGTCCAATTGCAACATTTAAAAGACATCTGAATGGGCACCTGAATAGGAAATGTTTAGACGGATATGGGCCAAATGCTGGCAAATGGGGCTAGATTAATTTAGGATATCTGGCTGGCATGGACGAGTTGGACCGAAGGGTCTGTTTCCGTGCTGTGCATCTCTATGACATCCCGAGTTGCCCTTGAGAAGGTGGCCATGAGCTGCTTTCTTGAACCGCTGCAGTCTATGTGCTGTAGGTTGTCCCACAATGCCAGGGAATTCCAGACACAGGATTAAAGATTCTAAATATAAGATTAAACCTCCACTCCCCTTATAAACGAATCTAACATATGTGTAATGTAGTTAAAAAGATATCAATGAGAAGTTTCAAGGTGGCAATATAATTCTTGTCTTTAAATGTTACACAGAGATCACTCAAGTCAGATTACTGTCTTTCAACCATGTCCAGTTATTTGTTTTAATGCAACCAGTATTCAAAGACACTCCAAGATTTTGCATTGATTAAATGATCAGAAGGATCAATCACAAAACTGAACATTTTTTTTTCTTTATTCATTCATTCATGGGATGAGGGCATCGCTGGCTAGACCAGCATTTATTGCCCATCCCTAAATGCCCAGTGAGCAGTTCAGAGTCAACCACATTGCTGTGGGCCTGGAGTCACATGTAGAACAGAGCAGGTAAGGATGTCAGTTTCCTTCCCTAAAGGACATTAGTGAATCAGATGGGTTTTTCCAACAATCAACAATGGATTCATTGACATCATTAGATTCTCAATTCCAGATTTTTTTTTTATTTAATTCAAATTCCACCATTTGCTGGGTGGGATTCAAACCCAAGTCCCCAGAACATTATCTGGGTCTCTGGATCAACAGTCCAGTGATAATACCATTAAGCCATCACCTCAACTGCATTGATTCTCACTGGGGCAGTATTGATGGCACTAGCTTGATCTCATAGATGGCAGGTTGGGGAGGGGAAGAGGATGATGAGTGGTGTTGTCAGGCTTTCCAGTTATCTCTATTGCTAACCTAGCCAGGGAGCAGAAATGGGGGAGAAAGTGATCTGACAAAAGTCTGCTCAGATCTCAGTTGTAACAAATAGCCTGCCAAAAATCACCACCAAGATGGATCAGTGAATAACATCCATGAGTGTGAGGTGCACCTGGGTGCAATGTAGAAACATATAATAGGAGAAAAAGTCACTGTCTCATATCTAAAATAAAGATGATTTATTTTTATAAAGCAGCTTTAGTGTTAAGTCATCCACTCACCCTGGTAATGAAGTGTAACTTGTGACTGTGTGGGCAGACTATGCTGTAAACTCCTGCACTCTTAATTTCACAGGAGACCCTCCACAGCCAAATGCAAAGCCTTGAACTGACTTGTCTGTATTGGGCTGACGCCGAGAGGCCAGTCTTCAAACCTTGCAAACACCATCCACTTCTCTGCAATGCAGTATTTAATATTACTTTAAAGGAAAAGGCATATTAAACAAATTATATTGATAAATATCATTAATAGATGTTTTAACAGTTACTGCACTAATGTCAAAATATTTGCTTTAATAAAAACAAATGCTAGTTAGGAAGTTCGGTCAGGGTCTTTCTTAATTATTTTTCACTAAGAGCCCAATGCAAAGACTCCTGTTGTTTTCTTATCCAGTAGCACGCTGACTATAATCTGTAAAATAGCAAATCCAATGTCCTTTATTTATAAACGTAAGAATGTAGATATATTGTAAGCAAACAGAACTTTGAACAACATGTAGCACCTTTACATCTACTGATCTTTAAGTAACCGAACATTTTACAGCCAGAATGATCTAAAACTCTAAGCATTTAAACCTTAACATAAATATTTGTGAATGTTACATTTTGTTGGATGGAATTTTATCCCCTTTTGTTTATAGAATGGATTTGTTACACAATGCCCTGCACTGTAAACTATTCTGTGATCTGACCACAGAACAAACTGAACAGTGCAACACACTAGTTAAAACTAGCAGCCGTTTTACTGTATGATGGGCCTTACAATTCAAAATTGAAAATGTAATTTAAGGAAACTCATCACAATGACTAATATGCCAAAATAATTATTTGACAGTAAACAACATAAGTGGCATTCATAAAGAAATTACCATTGCTACAGATTATTTCCAGTTGGGCAATGTGAATTGGTCTAATAAGAAATGTAAGGGATAACCATCAAAATATCATAATCGACCTGTTAATAAAATTTTACAGGAGGTCCCAACATATAGATATTGGTTATGTAAACATATTGCCCTGTGGTAATTTTAGAAGTTCCTCTAATATCTAAAATAAAATTTTACATTCTATACTAATCTCACATAAACAGTCATATCTTTGTCTCTCCCATTTCCACAATATACACAATATGGCTTTATTACCAATTGGCCACTTTCTATTGCAACAATGATGCATCTTACAACTCATTTTAGGTTGGAAATCAATTGAAAATGCAACACTATTTTATCAGTAGATATACAGTAGTAATTTGGCTCAAAGCTTTTTAATGCTTTATAAAAAGATGGTTCTATTATTTTGCTGGCTGACATCTATGTGAAAAGAAATTACTTTTGAAACATGTGGTTTGTTGAACATGTTTTGGCCTATGGACAATATTTATTCTTTGGCGTATATTCCAAATATTGCTAGTGAATAATTTCTGGTATTGAGGTTTTTAATACAATATAGAATAGATCTTCTTCGGTGTCCATGCAATGGGGGTTTGAGTGCAAGGGACACATTGTGTGGTCCACATCATATGGTGTCTCAAGTTAAGAGGCTACCACAAGCATGCTTGCTATTTAGTATGGTAAAGTGGTCCACAGAACTTCCAGATAAAAATTCACTTGCCCATACCTCATCACGAATCTACTTAAAATATATTGTGAGCAACTATTCTCCTTGGTAAAAAGAGCAAGTTTAATTTCCAGTAGTGTAATTCTGTACAGTGTCAACTGTACGATTTCCATTCGGAAGTATAAAAGCATAACAAGTACATAAAAATAACAAGGGAAGCAATCAATTCAAATATGTGTACACTATCTTTCTCTTTCAAAATTTAAGACTTTAACAGGATAAATGATAAATTTGGTTACTTTGAGTCTTGCTTTCGATTAATAATAAAAAAGCTCAAACTTTTGCTTTAAAATTGCAGAGCATTCCATTGGATTTAGCTCGATTTGGCTGATTCTCTGAGCTTCGCATGGAGGGCATCGCAAGTTTTCTTTGCATCACCCAGCAGCATGGCAGTGTTTGGTTTGTAAAACACTGGATTGTCAACAGCAGCATAGCCGACTCCCAGAGATCTCTTCATCACAACAACCTGGAAAAAAAACATCAGTCAGAAGACGGTAACTGTCTGTCAATAAATAAATACACCTGTAATATCCAGGTTTGATCCCCAGCTGTTGCTGAATTTTCTTGTCTCAGCCTGGGCAATAACTGACCAGAATTACAACTGACCAGAATTTGAACTGATTCAAAACAGAAGATCAGATCAGAGGCAAGGAATTCTACAGCAAGTAACTCATCACCTGGTTCTGCTATGCTTGTCCACTATCTACACGACACACATTAAGAATAAGATGGAATACTCTCCACTGAGCTTGATGACTGCACTTAATGACAGCACTCCAGAAGCCTAACATCAGCCAGGACAATGTGGGAAGGTAATAGGCTAGTGGTATGTCACTGGACTAGCAATCCAGAGACTTAGGAAATGTTCCGGTCCCTCTACTTTGAATCCTTCCATGGTAGATAGTGAAATTGAACTCAATAAAAATATTCAGGAGACAAAAGTCTAATGATGGTCATGAAACCATTGTTGACTCTGAGGGGAAAAATCATCTGGTTCATTACTGTCCTTTTAGGGAAGGTAACTGCCATCCTTCCCTGGTCTGGCCTACAATGTGATTGACTTTTAAATGTCCACTGAGTAATTAGAGATATGGAAAAGATGCTGGACTGACCAGCAATTTCCACATTCCATGAATGAATTTTTAAAAAAGCAGCAGTGTGTACCATCTACAACATGCAGCAACTTGTCAGTGTGCCTTCAACAGTAACTTCCACATCCGCAACTGCTACCACTGGATGGACAATGACAACAGATAGAACACCTGCAAGTTCCCTTCCTAGCCATAAACTATCCTGACTGGAAAACATATCATCGCTCCTTCACTGCCACCGGGTCAAGATTCTGGAACCTCTTTCCTATTTACAACCAATGGTCTGCAGTGGTTCAAGAAAGGCAGCTAACCACCATCTTCTCAAGGTTAAGTAATGATAGGCATTAAGTGTTTTCCTTGCCAATGATACTCACATATAGTGAGGACATATGACAAAAAGGAGATGCGATGCATGTTAGGACTGAGATCAGGTATCCTGGTCTGAGGGGAAATAGCAATGTCTCTTAGTACCGTTTACCTTTACCACTGAAAGATGGAATGACCACTACATGCACCCATCAGATAAGGGCAGAATCTGTGCCTTCAGCTGTGATGGTCCCCAAAATTAAACTAGTTGCTCATACTCATCATGCACCTTTCAGAATTGAAGAATGATCGACGGACACGGGAAGAATGCAAACTTGACACAGTCGGCCAAGGATGGGATTGAATCCGGCTCTCTGGAGCTGTGAGGCATCAGTGCATTAAGGACCAAGCAGAAAATCTGTGCATTAAGCCAGAAGACACTGGTAGAGTGTTGAATGAGAGCTTCACATCTGTTTTTCACACAGGAGAAAGAGGATGCAAGCACAAAATTTGAGAAGATGGACTGTAAAGTTCTTGAACAGATTGAAATAAGAAGCGAGGAGGTATTGGAGGCTTTGGTGCATTTAAAAGTGGATAAATATCCAGGTCTGGATGAGTTGCATCCCAGGCTGCTGTGGGACATGAGGGCAGAAATAATAGCAGCCCTGACCCAAATTTATAAATCTTCTCTGGCCACAGGTGATGAGTCAGAGGACTGAAGGACAGCTAATGTGGTTCTACTTTTCAAGAAGGGGTAGAGAAACTGCTGCAGACAATTCTGAAGGAGAGAATTAAACTCCACTTGGAGAGGCAAGGTTTGATCAGGTATAATCTGCATAACTTTGTCAGAAGGAGGTCATGCCTAACAAATTTGACAGAAACTTTCAAGGAGGTGACCAAGTGAGTTGATGAGGGCATGGCAGTTGATGTAATTTGTGTGGATTTCAGCAAGACCCTTGACAAGGTTCTACATGGGAAACTGGTAAAGAAGGTAAAAGCTCGTGGAATCCAGGGTAACTTGGCAAGTGGATCCAAAATTGGCTTCGTGGCTGAAGACAGAGGGTTGCGATAGAAGCCTGTTTGTGAGACTAGAGCCCAGTGTGCAATGGAAACCACAGGGATCATTGCTGGGTCCCTTACTGTTTGTGATATTTATAAATTACGTAGATTAGAATGTCGGGGGTGATAATATGTAAATTTGCAGATTAAACAAAGAATGGCTGGGTGACAGGTGGCACAGTGGCACAGTGGTTAGGACTGCTGCCTCACAGCGCCAGGGACCCGGGTTCGATTCCAGCCTCGGGCGACTGCCTGTGAGGAGTTTGCACATTCTCCCCGTATCTGCGTGGGTTTCCTCCGGGTGCTCCGGTTTCCTCCCACAGTCCAAAGATGTGCAGGTGAGGTGGATTGGCCATGCCAAATTGCCCATAGTGTTCAGGGAGGTGTAGATTAGGTGGGTTATAGGGGGATGGGTCTGGGTGGGATGCTCTGAGGTTCGGTGTGGACTTGTTGGGTCGAAGGGCCTGTTTCCACACTCTAGGGATTCTATGACAAGTGAGGAGGAAAGTCTCAGGTTACAGGAGGATATAGACAATTTGGTCAGATGGGCAGATCAGTGGCAGATGGAAGGTAACTCTGATAAACATGAAGTGATGCACTTTGGAAGAAGCAACAAGACAAAGGAGTATCAATGAATGGTAGAAGAGTCAGGAACAGAGGGATCATGGGGTGTTTGTCCACAGACCTCTGAAGGTGGTAGGACAGGTTAATAGGATTGCTAAGAAGGCATACGGGATGTTTGCTTTTACCAGTCAAGGCACCAATTATAAGGACAGGAAGGTTAGTTTGAAGCTGTACAGGACTTTGGTTAGGCCACAGCTGGAGTATTGCGCACAGTTCTGGTCACTACACTATTGGAAGGATGTGACTGCACTAGAGTGGGTGCACAGGAGACTCACAAGGATCTTGCCTGGGACGGAGTATTTCAGCTATGAAGACAGATTGGATAAGTTACAGTTGTTGGAGCAGAGAAGGAGGCCGAATGTGATAGAGATGTTTCAGACCATGAGGGTCACAGAGAAGGGTGAAGAGAAAGCAGCTGTTTCCATTGGCTGAAGGTGACTTGAAGGACTTTTAAAGTGAAAGGCAGGAAGGTTAAAGGGGAAAAGATTGAAAGAAAGATTTTTCACCCAGAAGTTAGCGGGATTCTGGCACTGCCTGAGACAGTAGTTGAGCCTGGTAATGTCACAACCTTTAAAAAGTACTTGGATAAACATTTGAACATTCAAGGCTATAGGATGAATGTGGGAAAATGGTACTCATGTTGCTAGTCGTGTAAAATTGGCAATACAGACTGTATGGGCTTCTTCACACATAACTGTATGATTCTAGGTGTGCAACCACCTTCTCAAAGTAAGGAATGTACCCTTGTAAATGTTAACCACACGCTGGAATCAAACATTTTTAATAAAGTTACACACTGGATAATTTCCCTGTCACTTTTCCAAAGCAAGATACTGATATGGAGACAAGACCACTTGCCGCCTTATCCAAAACTCTACCAATGACCCAAAAAAAAATTACATCTTACAAACATTGCGACAACACCAATTTCTAGTGGTTTTGTCTTCTAATCGCCTTTCAGCTTATTCCAAATTGATTTTGTGGACAATGGGTGGTGGTGAATGATGCAGCTGGAGACTCACCCCACAATCTGCTTAAATTAATTGTTCTGCAAAATTGTCAGTCAAAAGCCTGTCAACTATTTAAGACACAATATTTGCTTAGATTTTGTATAAAATATCAGGCAGACTTTTTTGAGCTGTGGGATTTAGATGACTGAAGGAAGAATGCAGAACAGTTTTTCCCTTTAGAATACATCTGTATCCATACACGTGTTGATAATATATTTCATTTGGACCACAGTAAGTGTGAAATAAATCAGATCACTCATCAAGTTTTATATGTAACTGCCACATTAAAAGCACATGTTACTCCAGCCAATATTTCCACTCCCTTGCCATTAACTTTATTCTTCTTCCGGCTACATTGTTTGAACTGTTTTACAATCTTTGCAAAACCTCAAGCACTCTATTCCACGCAGTTGAATTTCAAATCAAAATCCTGGCCACCACTAAGGACTGCATAATTCCACTATTGGATACATTTGCCCATATGTGACCATCATTGTGGCTGAAGCGCTCAACAATGCTTTTGTGACCTCTAAACTAGATTTCTCCAATTACTTATCCAATGGCTGCCCAAACTGTGCAAGTTCCAATGTGTCCAAACTTTATCGCCTACACACTGTCGTATACAAAGCCCCTGTTAGTCATCATTCCTCTGACAAACAATGTTGGCTCACAGTCCTCTAATAGTATGTCAGTCTTAAATGTTTTGTTGTAACATACAAATCCCCCCAACTATAATCGTACCCTATCATTTCAACTTTCTTATGCCTTAGATCTCTTTCACTGAATTCAGTATGGCCTTCTGTTCTTCCCACACTTCTCCCCAAACCTCCTCCAATACCCACCTAATATTCTCCCACTCCAAAATTGATGGAACAATGTTTAGCTATCTTAGTCCCACTCTTGGGGTCTATCTCCGACATCTTATTTCTATATTCACCTTTGACAGTCCTCTGAAGAGCCGTTGTCAAAGTCTTTGGGCACTTCAGTTAACCATGTTAATTTGTCCCATCTCAACAAAGATCCTAGGTATATCTCCATGCTAAAACAGTGGTCCAAATATTTATTATTAGTCGTGGCTCCACAGCTACTGGCTTTTTAAAAGTTAATTCATGGGATGCAGGTGTTGCTAGCTAGGTTAGCACTGATTGACCATCCTTATATGCCCAGGGCAGAGAAAGGTCAATCACGTTGCTGTGTGTCTGGATTCACTTGTAGACCAGACCAGGTAAGGATTTTTTTTCATTCATTCATTCATGGGATGAGAGGCATCACTGATTAGGCAGCAGTTATTGCCCATCCTTAATTGTCCAGCGAGCAGTTCAGAGTCAACCACATTGCTGTGGGTCTGGAGTTACATGTAGTCCAGACCAGGTAAG